AAAAAAAAAAAATTATGAGATTGGAAAAATGTATACATCAATTGCGCCGATCAGTATTTCAGGGCATCGCCCATTTGCGCCAAAATAAAAAAAGGTCCTTTTTTTCCGATCGCCTATTTGCGCTAAATTTACCTGTATATATTACACGATAAAATATTACAGTTGCTAAGTTTAAAATGCGTGTCATGTAAGTACGAACTAAAAATCTAAAAACTTTAAGTGCAATTTTCTGCGATTTTTATTGAATTTACTCATTTATAAAAGTAAGTTACACAAACTATTGTCAAATTTCACATTTTTATTCTAATAATTAAACAAGTAGTTTTGAAAAAATTATAATACAAGTAAAAATGTGAATTTTGACAATAGTTTGTGTAACCTACTTTTATAAATGAGTAAATTCAATAAAAATCGCAGAAAATTGCACTTAAAGTTTTTAGATTTTTAGTTCGTACTTACATGACACGCATTTTAAACTTAGCAACTGTAATATTTTATCGTGTAATATATACAGGTAAATTTAGCGCAAATAGGCGATCGGAAAAAAAGGACCTTTTTTTATTTTGGCGCAAATGGGCGATGCCCTGAAATACTGATCGGCGCAATTGATGTATACATTTTTCCAATCTCATAATTTTTTTTTTTTTACCTGTGATTTTCGGCGCATTTGATATATACCCGGTTTTCTTAGTTAAAAAGTAATTAGTGAAACACGGTATTATATTATAGGTAGTGATGGCGTAAAATAATATATTTGATTTGATATTTTTTAGCAGTCTATAATATAAAAAGTACTTTCGGCAGCGACGACTGTTGTTATATACTATAATATTATAGAGTGTATTGTGATGATTGCTATCGCACAATAAATCGTGTAATCTATTGACTATTTATAATAATATTATATTTTAATTATTATTAATATATGAATTTTTTTTACGAAATGCTTCAATTTTATAATTTAATAAATAATATGTATAACCTTATTACAATATTTTATGATCAGGTAATAAAGTTTAAAGTTATGTTACAAAATACTTACTAATTTTATTTAACTTACTAAAAAACTTAATTTTCTACTATTCAAACTAGGTGAGGAGAGGAAAGGTTGTAAGGGCACCAATACTTCTTGCGCCGGCCCTCATAAGGATAAACTTTGGAAAACCATAGGTGCAACGAATTGAATCAGCCAGGTAATTATTTATTTTATTTAAATACATTTTTTATTTTTAACTGTTCATTTATTAAAAAAAAATAAAGTATAAGTATAATATGTTACAAGTTACCTAGAGCACGGATTTTAATGCACTAAAAAGTTTCAATATATACCATATAATATGCATTCAAAATCGTAAAAATATGTAACAAATATGGAAATACGCGGAAAATTTATGAAATGAATATGTAAGAAAATTTTAAATATTTATAAGAAAAATATTATTTATTTCTAATTTTTCTTCAGTAAAGCTGTGACATTTTTTGTCAATATATTTTTAAATACAGATGAGAACGATCGTTCGTTGTCAACTCAAGTGGTTGGGACATATTTGAAGGAACTATAATAGTTAAATAGGAATATACAGACATACAGTAGTACAGGGGTCGGCAACCTTTTTAACCACAAGGGCCATTTTTTTTTTTCAATTGTTCATCAAGGGCCACATTAAAAAAAAAAATTACATATTATGATATAATACTTATAATTGTATTGCTATTATGAAACGGTTAGATAAGATTTTATTTATAAAGGAAAAAGAATTATATAATATTGAAAATTATATGAAAAATGTTATTAAACAAAAGTAAAACACAAAAATTAACCACCATTGTGCGGGCCATCAAAAATTGCTTTGCAGGCCGCGGGTTGCCGACCCCTGCAGTAGTATAATGGCTTAAATTTTTTCTTTTATTTCATTAATAAATTATTGAAATGCTTCCATGGAATGTCATATTTAAAGTTTCTATACAGATATTTTATTTACTGCTATCATTAAAATTTCCAAACGAATATGCATAAAATGTTAAGTCATTGACAACATTATACTATCTTCAAATTATATTTACAACTTTTAAAATTTTTTTTTTTACTATTGATACAATTTTATTTTATACTTATTTTTAAAATTTTATTTTAACTCATTGCAATACATTTTGAATTTCGTAAAATTGTCATTAAACACGCAAATAAAAAAAAATTATGATTAAAATAGTCTATTTAGTTATTTTTTTAGTTTATTAAGCTCAGAATATAAATCGCGTGGCAATCATTATAAATATAAATATTTTTGTGTTTACTTAAATACAAAAAAATAATCAGTTCTTTAGGACAGTCCTTACGTACACGAGCTTCAGCGGTCTAAAATTTCATTTAACTTTCAAAGAATTATCAAACTTATTTGTTTGTTAGTTATTTTTAAGCTTATTTAATTCTTAGCCATTCTCAAGCTTATTTATATAAGTTATTATAAAATTAATAATTTGAAATTTGTTAATTGTTAATAATCATGATGCCATTACCACCAAAAACTTTCACATTTGAAGGAACAGTATATAAATGGTGTACGCGTAGCAAAGATATTAATGGATCCATAATATTGTGTTACATCCAGTAAAAAAGGTACGTATCTAATTATTCTATCAATGAATAATTCGATTTTAATAAGTTGACATTAATATATTTATTGAATAATATTATATTATAATTTGTACCTAGTTTATTGTGTACGGATATTCAAAAAATCTGTGTCTTAGTGGCGTATTTAGGAATCTGTTGCCTTGAGTACACATATTTTTTTAATGCTCTCTTCCCTTATCAGTATTTTCTAATGGCAATTTTTTTCACCAATAAAAAAAAATCTCACAACACCTGTGATATGGATGTATAATATGATACAGTGCAAAAATCTATAAGATATCCCAGAATGTTGAATATCATAAGTACCTTTTCTCAAATCTTAGCAGTACCTTTAGATAACAAAATAATCAAAGCAAATAGTAAAATGTATTCATTTACTTTTTATCTATTTATAAAATAGCGAACAAATTAAAAATCAATATAATATAAGTATTTGAGAGAAAAAAAAACAAATAGTATTAATAAATTAATATTTTTCGACGTGTTTTCAATGTTTCAAAATTTTCAATCCTTTCATCATAGTTTAATGAAGTTTTCAACATTCAAAACTGCCAAAGATTTTAGATGGTTATCATTCGTTGATGATCTGCAGAGATACTTGATGTAACCCGTTTTAATAAAAATTGATTGCACAGATTGGCTGTGTTAATATTGATAACGTTTTATTGACATTGATTTGTCTAAGTTATCGTAGTAAATCTGTTAAAAAAAAAAAAAATCCCACTAAAATTTGTTACTCCCAAAAGAGTATTGCCCTGACCAATTTCACCCCTTACAACTTCTAAATACGCCACTGGTCTTAGCTGCAAAAAATATTATATTCACAATGTAATACCAATATAATAATTTATTTTTCGTGAGTATATCGTCGATAGACAAAATTAAAAAAAAAAAAAATTATCTGGAAGAAATTTAATCATCGGGAATAAATAATAATAATATTGATATTACTCACAAATATATACGCTTTAGACAGGGACGTAGCCATTGGAGGGGTCCATGGGGTCCGGACCCCCCACCCCTCCCGAATTATCATCAATTTATTTTTTTTTATTTATTATTATTTACTAAACAATAATTATTACTTTTGAATTTTTATACTATAATAATTTGATTTTTACTTCAATAATAAGAATTATTAAAAATGCCTGTTCATTTTTTTTTAACTTGACCCCCTTCGAAACAAAATCTTAGCTACGTTCTTGGCTTTAGATATACTTTTATAAAATAATAATTATATATATATATTTTTAATGAAAAAAAATGTTGCTCAAATTTTGGAAACTTATAGATGTCAAGACATTGAGTTATTCAAATAGCTGTGTACTCTTAATATTATGTGTTGTAGTAATTATCTTTAATAATGATGTATACGTTTGTATTTTTTCTTATAAAGGATGCAGTAAACCTTCAAAATCAAGCAGTTGAAAATGGTAATGTTCATTGAATATAATTTAATATAATTAGTATTTATAGTTAAAAAAAATGTCATGTTTAATTTAATTAAATTTTTTTTTTTATTTTTAACATAAAAATAATAATATTAAAATAGATTTTCTTATATTTTAAATAATTTTTTACATTTTATTTTACAAAATTGTATGCATTTTATATTTAATAATTTTCAAAATTATATAATTGTCCTAATTCTACAAAAGTTATAAACCAATTATTTTATTTTTTTACATATATTATATAAAATTTTGTTTTGTTCGAAAAGAGAATCGGTGTTTTTTTAAATTTGGTCGAAAGTGAATTATCCGAAAAGGGACTACAAATATTTAATTTTTAATCGAAAATAGAAGTGTACTTTTTCGGTCGAAAACGGCCATGCCTTTTAGGACGTTGTTTCATTTATCACGACATTGAAATATATAGGTATACAACTAACTGTTCGGGCACGATAGTTAAAATTCCAAATTGACTTCAAATATTCTTCTTTGTTTCTAACATAATATATTACATAGGAATAGTGAATGCTCAACACCATAAATTGGAGCGTCGAAGTCATGACAATAGTGACTATTTGTCATTTGAAATCTTAAACCTGCATAGATAGTCAGAGAAACAGTTATGCCAGGTTAAAATTTGTGATAAATAAAAATTAATACATCCAAATTTTCTTGTTATCCGTGATTTTACATCCTTGATAAGACTTTAGGATCTTATCTTATCATATTTGAACAATTGTATATTTATATATTGCCAACACCGCAGCTTAACGGTTTTAAAACTTATAAATTTGCATTGTAATTTTTCAGAAGAAGAAATAGGTAAGTTAGAAAAAAAAAATGTCCTCACAAAGTGTCAATCGACGAAATTATTGGCTATTATTTTTAAATTTTTTCTTATGAAGTAAAAATATAATATTTTATAATATTTGATCCATTTTAATTTTTAATATTTGCACATAATACACATAATTATTATTTTTATAACTATTATTTTTATTTTTTAGAAACAGAAGAGAGTATTAAAGTACAAGATTTAACGAATTCTATTGGTAAAACAAAAATAAAAAACCTTAAACATTTTTATAAAAATTACTCAAATAAACCTACTATACGGGGTTTTAAATTTTCAGACGAATTGAAAAATATAAACGATCAGCCAACAAAAGAAATTAAGGAGTTGAAAGAAAGTGCAGCCCTCGCCGAAAGCCAAATAGGCATTGTATTTCAAGGTTAATATTTTAAAAATTATTTTTTCTGTTTTTTGATATTTAAACAAAATAGTTTTTAATTTATACACATAATACACATCTACACTTTTCACACATGTATATTTGTAAATTGTAATCGATAATGTAATATATTAATATTGTTTTTTTCATATATTATATTTTTTTAGATTTGGAAAATGATAAAGAATATTTAATGAAATCTAACGGTAGTATAAAATATAGAAACAAAAAAAACATTTATAAATTAATTATTCTGCCTCCATTTTTTAGAAGAAATGAAAAAAATAATCACAAATTCAGAAGAAGAAATAAATAAATTGAAAAAACAAAATGCTGTCCTAACGAGGAATTTATCGGAGAAAATATTAGGTTATTATTTTTAGATTTTTTTTTTTATGAATTATAATGTTTGAATCATAATTTTTAATATTTACACATCTACAGTTTCAAAATTTATTTATTTGTGATTAGCATTGTAACATACCTATAAATATTATTTTTATACTTATTATTTTTTTTTTTAGAAACAGAGAATGTTGTGCGAGGAATATTAAATCATAGTGGTAAAACAAAAATAAAAAACCTTAAAATTTTTTTATAAAAATTACTTAAATTAACTTAGTATACAGTGTTTTAAATTTTTAGATGAAGTAAAAAGAAATAATAAAAAATTAAAAGAAAAGATTCAAATATTGAAAGAGGGTAAAAGTGCTGCCCTAACTGAGAGTCAAATAGGCATTATATTACAAGGTTAATATCTTAAAATTATTTTTTATGTGTATTGATATTTGAACAAAATAATTTTTAATACAAACACATAATACACATCTATAGTTTTCACATATATATATATTTGTAAATTGCAATCGATAATGTAATATATAAATATTGTTTTTATCATATATTATATTTTTTTTAGATTTGGTTAGTGACAAAAAACTTTTATTGAAATATAACGGTAATATAAAATATAGAACTAAAAAAATATTTATAAACTAATTGTTCTGCCTCCATTTTTTAGAAGAAATGAAAAAAATTATATCAACATTATCCGAAGGAATAATTGAATTGGAAAAACAAAATGTACTCACGAAGAGCCAATCGGCGAAGTTATTAGGTTATTATTTAAAATTTTTTTTTTTATGAATTATAATATTTGAACCATAATAATTTTTAATATTTACGTATAAAACACATCTAAATTTTTCATACTTGTTTATTTGTAATCTATATTGTAGTATAATAATATTTTTTTTCGTATATTATGTTTTTTTAGAAGAGGAAAACCTTAAAAAATATTTGTCGGATCTAAGCGGTAATAAAAAATAATAAACGTTTAACATTATCAACAAATTTTAAAAATAACTGTTTTACCTTACTATTTTAGATCAACTTTCAGAATTCAACTTAGATGCAATGATTGAAGAGTACGATTCAGAGGAAAATGAGGCCCCTGAAACAAATCTTAAACGTCGTACTTTATGGTTCCGGACCAGAAAAAGTTTGAGGCGAATGTTTTTCTGCGCTTAGTTTATGTGTTTTCTGTGGTACAACAAAAAGTTTTGAATAAAAATTATATCTCTATAATTTTATGACTAATAAAAAGCAAGATATTAAAAAAAAGGCAATTTTCTTAACCTTTGACCTCGAATAACATTTAACGCATACATCATATTGAGGTCGACATTTTACACGTTGTTTATAACGATGTCGTAAAGGTGTGTATCAAAATTCAGCTAAGTGAGAATTTTTCTGAGCTGAAAACCAAATATGACTGGGCCATATAATATAGAATGTATTGTTCTTCTATAAAAAGAAATCAAATTGATGGTGTTATAATTTTTCCAAACATTCTTTAAGTATTGAATTTTTTGAATATGAATTCGTAGATACTAACATATTAAAACTTTACTAAAGCGTCAATAAATTTAGTATGTATAATATAAGTTTCTCATATCTGATAGTGATTACTTTATGAATTCTTTAATAAAAGTAATTAACGTTTCTAAATTAAGTAGTGTGAAAACGACAGTTTTCATTGGTGATATGAACATTAACATAATTGGTATGCTTGAAAATAACAATAGATATTTAAATTTGTTATCTGAATAAAGTTAATTTATCTCTTTTATAAATGTTTACACCAGATTACCTAAGAATTTTAATCATGCATATTTAGGCCATATATTTATTAATGGTAACGATTACCTAATAAGTAAAATTAATGCCAGTGTCATACTGATATAACTGATCACAGTACTATGTGTACATCAATATCTATAAATACTAAATTTGTTCAAAAATAAAAAACAAAAAAAAGATGATTTGTTCAGTAAAAATAAGTAGCCTTTGCGTTAATATCTCGATTTATATTAGTTGTACAATATATATATATCCAATCGTACTTGTAATACATACATTTTAACGTTTACCATAAGTTCATACAAAATTACGATGATATATATTATATTCAATAACGATAATAAGAATGCATTCGTTTCTACACCACCATTGAAGTAGAAGCATGGTGCGATTTTTTTATATGGTTTCCTCGGTAAGCCTAGTCCATGGAGTGATAATTATTTCATCGTTATCGAATTATCAAGATAAATTAATTAGTATTATATTTTAATTATTATTTATTAACTTTGCTCTTGTCTTTTTACATTTCTTCTTCATTTTTTTTTCACATTATAAGTATTGTCTTCTTCAGATATATCCGCTGACATAAAAGATCGCGTGCGAGTGCACTTCGCTATCGCAGTACATTTTTTTCCAGATCATTAATATTGGAGCCTGGCTTTAGCATTTAATTTTATTGTATAATTGTTATTCTCTACTGATATATGGACGCACCACGGTCAGACGGGGAAGGCGGCGTGATTTATACTGAAAATACTAAGAATAATATTAAACGAAAAAAGTCACACATGCAAAGCGTTAAAGGTCTATTTACACATAACGACATAACCGTTCCGTGTCCGTGCCGTCCGTTCTGTGTCCGGCGTTTTAAATTTGTTTACTTGTTATGAAATGGGCATGTTTACACATGTCCATTGTCCGTTCAGTATCCGTTCCGTCCGTGTCCGTAATTTTAGATTTGTCGGAGACAATGTTTTGGGGAATTTCACTGATACGGATATGAAAAATACGGAACAGTGTAAACAACTGTCAGTGCCAATTGACAGCTTGATCGGTTTGTTAAAAAAGTTTAAAAAGTTATTAAAAAGTTGTTTTTTCAAAGACTTTATACACCAAAATCTGAAATCATGTGTACCAATGCCGACGAAAAAATTATAGAAATGGTTCGTTCTCATATAGAATTATACGACCTTTCACACTCAAAATATATGGATACTGCTCATAAAGACAAAATTTGGAATTCTATTGGAAATGAAATAAATCTAACAGGTAAGTGGTATTTGTTAGTACTTAATTATGTATTTTTTTAGTATAGATAACATGTTTTTACTAAACAACTATTAAGAATTTATAGTTAAATTATTATTTAATTTAAAAAATTAATAAATTGTAAAAATGATAAATTTAATACAAGCATATTATAGCATATTCAAGATTATATTTTAATAATTGATATAGGTACACATTTGAAATGAACAACTGCTAGTCGCTAATGACAATAGTATGTCATTTACATAAAAAACTTTAAGTTATTAAATTTTAAAAAACACAACTGTTAAAAAATAACTTATAATTATTATTTTTGCTGAATTAATATAATAATAAGTACCTATATTAAGACGTAATACACATTAAAATTAAATAGTAGTAAGTACCTAATAATAGATGCGTTTTTATGTTGTTAAATTTTTTCATTTTGCCACGGTACAGACCCTGCTGGAAAATTAAAAAAATCTTTATATAATTCTCGTGTTGCAAATGCTGCCCGTCCAGCTCCACCGCCTTGCATAGGTATATTATTTAGATCAGCGGTTCTCAAACTGTGGTACGCGAAAGACTACATGATGGTACGCGGAACTGCGGAAGGCCGCATGGTGTTAGGATTTTTAATCATCAGTGGTACGCGACTGATTGATAATATACTTAAGTGGTACGCGAAATAAAAAGTTTGAGAACCGCTGATTTAGAGTAATATTTGAAACGGGTTCATTTATATTTTGAAAAACTTCATTGGTACAATTGCTGTATTTTTTTATATAGTTGTGAAGAACGCAAGTTGCTAAAATAATATAGTCCACATTTTCTGGTTTAGACTGTATCCTTCTGTTAAAAATACGAAATTTTTGTACTAGAATTCCAAAACAATTTTCGACTACTCTCCGCGTTCTACAAACACGATAGTTATAAATTCGTTTGGACAAGTCGTCAAGTTGCTTCCCAGGATACGGTCTCATTAAGTACGTTTTCAGTGGAAACGCTTCGTCGCCTAGTATAACGTACGGTGCAGAAATATTGGTATTTGGTAGAATTTCATCATTAGGAATATTTAATGAACCATTTTCTAATGATTTTCCTAAATTAGAATGTGCCAATATACCACCATCGCTGTTTTTACCGTAAGCACCCACATCTACTGCTATAAAATTGTAATTTGCATCTACTAATGCTAGCAAAACAACTGAAAACGTTTTTTTGTAGTTAAAAAAATTAGATCCAGAATTTGCTGGAGCTTGGATAGTGACATGTTTGCCGTCTAGCGCTCCTAAACAGTTAGGAAAATTCCAAACGTTCCAAAAATCATTGGAGATTTGTTTCCATCGTTCTTCAGTTGGTTGAGGCATAACTTCAGTCATCAAATTTTTTACTATACTTTGACAAGTGTCAATTACTATTTTATAAACTGTTGCGTGACCTAGGCGGTAACTGAAGGAAATTGTCTTAAACGAATCTCCTGTCGCTAAAAACCTAAATAAAAAACAAACATTTTTTATAATTATAAATATATTATACTTATATTAGATTCTGAGGAAGCGATGAATGTATTCAATTTACAATAATGTTTTTTTTTATTTTAATTTTTTTATTTTTGTATGTCATCGTCCGTTTGGGGCAGTAAAACTACTTCGATTTTCATCAACCTAAAACTTTAATACAATGCTTCTGATATGTTTTTACAATAACAGTTAAAAAAATTTTAAAAATAAATAGGTACAATTTTTTTTTCGACTTTTGACAACATTTATCAAATTAAAATCTAATGAAAAAAAAATTAATTTTAAACAGTGAATTATAAAATAAATATATTTTTTAAATTTTTATATAAATTGATATTTAATCTCGTTTTTTAGGAAAAATATGCAAAACTCGCTGGAATAGCATTAGGGATAACTATCGAAAATCTATTAAAAAAACAACAAGTGGTCAAGCATTTAAAATAATTAAAAAATATAAATATGATGATCAGCTTCAGTTTTTAAAGCCTCATTTACAAGAGAGGGATACTTTAGGAAATTTAAAAGATGTGAATAACGATGATTTAGAGAATTCTAGTAATGACAGTGAGGACGATGTGGAAAATGTTAGCACAGTTCAAAATATTGAGATTAATATTAGTGGCAATACAGATGGTGAAGATCAATTACCAAAAACTCCAGAATATCTATCTGCAGTTCGCAAATGTACAAAAAAACGTACAACCAAAACTCCGGAATCGGCTTCGAGTACTTTAATGAAGTATATAATGCAAAAAAGAGAAAATGATATAGCTAATACTACACAAACCCATTCTGTTGATGCTTTTTTAGCAGGCCTTTCACCCACACTCAAATCATTTACGCCATACTATTTAAACATAGTGAAATCAAAAATTTTTTCTATAGTTCAAGAATATGAAATGCAAATGATTGTAGACCAAGAAAAGAAAAAAACAACTTTTATATCACCATATCTCACACAATTGCTACCACCTCAGCAACAGTTTAGTCGAGAGTTTAATCAAAACTTTCCATCAAGTTCTGCACAACATCTTAACCACAATACGTATCCTAGTACTCAATTACAGAAAGAGATGCCATCACCGAGTGTATCAAATTATTCTTCTTCACCACCTTCTCCACAAGTCAGTCACGTTGCTTCAATTAGTAATACGAAAAATATTATAGAAACACCACATGATATTAGCTCACCAACTACATCTGATTATTCATCCACACCATCTCCACAGTTCGTTAATCAATTTGTGTCAAATAATTTACAAAACTCTACTAATGTACCTGTGCTAAACGATACTTTAACACCAACATAAACTCTGTATTCATCTCCACCACCATCTCCATTTCTCAACAAAAATATTGGTTCATATATGAGTATTACTCAAAATCTTACACATTTAGAAAGGACCCAAGATATGTTAATACCAACTTTGTCATCTTCACGTCCACAGTTTGATCGAAATATTTCAAATCAAACCAGTATACAACCGCAGCAAGAAATATACTCGAATAATAATAAATTTAAACATCCAAAAATAAAACTATACAAAAATCCAGAAGAAAATGAGTCAGTTGCTAAATATTTTGCACATTTTTCAAATAAAGATAATATACAATAATATCACATAATATAAAATTACCTACCTTTTAAATAATATGATGTTTGTTGAATTGATTGTTATTAAGTTTTTTTTTTTTAAAATTTCAAATTGCTTAAAATGTTATACACTACTTTAGATATATAATTAAGAAATATATTGTATGATTAATTTTATTATTCTCAAACTAATTAATTAAATTATAATATTGTTAAGTCAAATTGTAATTGCATACAGTTTGGTTGTAAGTAGGTTCATATTTATCTATACAGTATACATACCTCAGACAGACAGCTAATCGTTCTTTTGGTGTTATTGCTGGTCTCCAAAAAGTATCTTGTTTTTTTATATCATGTTCAATTTTACTTAATAATAAATTAAAACAGTACTGTGACATTCGAAAATATTCAAAAAATTTTGTTTCGTGATCTACCAACTCTCCATACAAAGTTGCAAATTCGCCTTCAATTTTTCTTTTTTTCCATAAATCATGAACCCAAATCCTTTTTTGTTTGTTGTTCTTTTCCTCTTCATCCAGCAGCAAGGCAAGTACTGCTAGATCTTCTAGCGATTCGTCTACACTTCCAGTCATATTATAATTTTTTTCAAATACCCAAAAGCCAAAACAACAGTGAAAAATGGAATGTAAAAAACGTGCGTGTGTTCAGTAGTTAGGTTTTAACTGCACTGAACGGACACGGACAACGGATACTGATCGGACACGGAACGGTTATGTGTAAATACTTTTGCACTGATACTGAACGGACGGTGCGGATACGGAACGGACACGGAACGGTTATATGTAAATAGACCTTAATACACCTGGCTTTATTGAGATTGAGTTTTCGCTTAATTGAACAATCGTGTGGTACTTTGGGAAGAATATAGATAACGCCCCACTGTGCAATTTACGAGTATGTTTCATAACGTATTGGGAACGTTATTAATTATTATGGTATTTCATGATCAACGTTGCTTTGTAACATAAGCACGATATCACCGGTTTGTTTTTGTGTGCTCTACAAAGTTATGAATAGTCAAGTACTATATGAAACATGTCATAGATGTTTTTGTGCAGTGCCGTCGTTAACGGATAGGCAACTTAGGCAATTGCCTAGGGCCTCGCGAAAGTAAAAATATTTAGGAGCCTCACTAAGTTTCCAAAAAAATTTAAAAATTTAAAAGTTATAAAATTAAATGTTCCTATAGTATTATATGATATGGAACGAAATATTATTTTAAATTAATCGGTAACACACTTATACTAAATACACATAGTCAATAATCATAAAATCTATATAGTCTGCGTTTAAAATAGATTTGATTAAATGGATAATAATGAAATGACGCTTATCTGTTTCTGACGAACCTCTGCTTTTATTTTTATCATTTATTTTGAACAAAGTTTTGACATAAAATACTAAATAGGCATTTGTCTTTTGTCATTGAACAAATTAACGACTCCTGACTAATATCTACAGCTTTGCGGACTTATTTTTGTTTATGTTCAGACTTATTAAGGGTAAATATTAAATTATTTAAATTATTAATAAAAATTATATATTATGTTGATAACATTAGCAACAATAATATTATCAAGTATTTTTAATATTTTTATTTTATTTTATTTCATTTATTTACTGGTGGTTTTTATATATATTTTATAATAATAATATAACAATAATTTTAAAAGATATTGGAATATTTATGCCTTTATTTTTAATATTAAATGATATTTAAACATTTTTTTTGAGTTAAATGAGTAATGTTGTCCCGCGCAAAACACTTAAAACTATGTTACGTGTGTATAAGACAGAGACAACACATGCGGGTATCACTTCCTCTTAAGACTGTTCAGTGCGGATGCCAATCCGACCTTAAAACTATTTCATTCGTTCGTTCGCTTTTATAAAGTAAACGCTGCTTTACACACGGATAAACCAAGTTTATCAACACCACCCCGCAACTCGCAGGTGTTTTATATTTAATTATCTACTTATAGATAAAAATATTCCAGTAATATGGGAGATATCATATTTATTGTATCTCATATCTTAATTGATTCTTTAACGAATACGTAGTTAATAAATATTGTGAATTTAGTATTTATAAAAAAATAGTATATTTTATTCGTGGTACGTCGAGTATCGACTATACAATCACATATAGTGATTGTTTATTAAGCATATTATAGTGCATATTTTAATATTTTTTAAGGCATAGGTATTATAGCCATATTATTAGCCTTTTTAATGACATAAAAACAAAACAATGGCATTGTTAATGCTTAATATTTATGAAATAAAATCTATAATATTTCCCAAGTAAACGATTTTTGACTATTCTTTTTTTTCAATATAGTTTTACTGCAAGATGGCGAGTAGAGATCGTGATCAGTATAGATCGTTCCCTTCAGGTCACCAAAAAAGATTAAAAAAACAAAAAAGAGAAGAATTTATTAAAAAACAAAGAGGCTCGTTAGATAAATTAGGGTTTTTTAACTGTGAAAGGTTAGTGAAATAAAAAATCTTGCAGAAATTGAAGTAAAAATAAATACTAAAAATGATGTAGTGCAGACATCTGACGAAATTTTTAATCACAACGACAACGTTCAAAATCAAACTGATAGTGTTATAAGAAGCGTAGATATGTTCACAGAAGTAAAAGTGAAAATGTTGACGAATGAAAATGACCAAGTGAGAGATATAGAAATGAATAATAGTGAATTGAATGGTAAATTAGATGATCCTGGTTATTGGCCTTCTATTATTTCTAATGATATTATAGCAACTATTGTAACTTTAGGACCAATTCAAATTAATAATTACGATTTTCCCCAAAATGATGAAAAACCAGCAAGAAGGTTCACTGAAAAATACTATTATCGACTAATGCCAAATGGAGAAAATGTAAATCGTCCGTGGCTTATTTACTCTAAAAGACACAATTGTGTGTATTGTTTTTGCTGTAAGCTTTTTAACCATTATGTTAAAAATTGTAATTTTATTTCTAATGGCATTCAAGATTGGAAAAATTTGTCAACAAGTCTAAAGCATCATGAAAATTCTATGATTCATTATGAAGCCCTTAAAAAATGGAATGACCTAAAATATCGTTTAAAAACTAATCAAGTTATAGATAAAGCGTATTTAGCTTTAATTGAAAAAGAAAAGTTACATTGGAGAAGTGTTCTTAAAAGAATTTTAGCAGCTATACATTTTTTGGCGCAACATAATGATTCTTTTCGAGGATCATCTGATAAATTGTATACAGAAAAAAATGGGAAATTTTTAGGATTAATTGAAATGATGGAGAAATTCGATCCAATCATTTCTGAACATGTTCGTAGAATAAAATGTAAAGAGACTTTTGACCACTATCTTGGACCTGAAATACAAAATGAATTGGTTAATTTAATGGCTAATGAAATAAAAAAAAAAATTATTAGTTTGGTGCAGAATGCAAAATATTATTCCGTGTTGATAGATTGTACGCCAGATATAAGTCACAAAGAACAAGTATCCATTATGTTGAGAATTGTAAATTTACATACAGAAAATCAGTCTATTGAACCATGCGTAGAAGAATATTTTTTAGAGTTTATACACTGTACATCAACCACTGGGCTAAATTTGTCAAATATTCTTATTTCAAAACTAGCTGAGTACAAAATTGAGTTAAGAGATTGCCGAGGTCAAGGATATGACAATGGGGCAAATATGAAAGGTGAATATCAAGGCGTTCAATCACGTATAAAACAAAAGAATCCAAGAGCATTTTTTACACCTTGTGCAACTCATAATTTGAATTTATTACTTGGTGATATAGCTAAGAGTTCTGTAAAAGCTATCAGTTTTTTTGGAGTGATTCAAAAAATTTATTGTGTATTTTCATCATCAACTAGCCGATGGGACATTTTAAAAAAATACTGTAAACATTTGACATTAAAATCATTATCTGAAACAAGATGGGAATGCCGAGTAAACAGCGTCAAAGCTATTCGTTTTCAAATTTCAGAAGTAATTGAAGCATTAGAAGAAGTTTCGGAAACAACAAATGACCCAAAAACTAAATATGAAGCACATTCCCTTGTTGTAAACGAACTCGAAAGTTATGAATTTATTTTGAGTTGAAAAACAGATGTCTCAAAACAGATTAAATTCATTGGCAACTATCTCAATAGAACACAAATTAGCAGTATCTGAAGAATATAATTCATTGATTGATGAATTTGCTAGTAAAAAAAGTAGAATAAAACGTTTTAATTAATACACAAATATTGAAATAATAAAATTATAATTTCAAAAGTTGTGTAAAATGTATAAGTATATTAGTTTTATACTCTTGTTTTCTATATAATATTATGTTTGAATGTTTTGAGTTTTGATAAAATTAAGATTTTTTTATGATTTTTGTATTACAAGTAAAATAAATTTATCACATATTTTTGAGTTGATCTTTTTTTAGTAAGTAATATTTATAACATTATGTATAATCAAAAATATTAATGTAAATCGTGAAAAATTATACACTTAACACCAAAAAATAACTTATTTTTCCCTAGGGCCTCGCAAAATATAGCGACGGCACTGTTTTTGTGTGCTGTTTATAGTTTCAAGAAATCTGGTACAGATGAAACATACCGACAGCGTTATCGAAGGACTCTTGTTATAATTAGACGTAGCGCGGCGGTATTGTTTTCCAATTTTTAGGTAATACCCCAATACCCGTATACATGATTCATAATAATAAACCGTATATCTAAATATATTTATATAATGTTGTTATTTATATTAATATATTATGTCGTTGAATCAACAGTCAACAGTCAACAATAAGTAATTGACAATATTATAATCGTCAAGATTTCATTACGTTCTATACTCTCGACTCGTTTGTTTCTCTTGAGCTACGTGTACACGGTATTACGCGTTTTACTAGCGTTCTAGTATTTTACTGTTTTACTTAAAAATTTTATTATTCAACAATTAGGTGAAGATTTATATTTTATTATGGCCGATAATAAAAGAAAGGTATGTTTTACTTTAAAATATTTTTCATTATTTATTCATTAACTTGATATATCTAGGTACGTTTTGTAGTTATTGTTATTAGATGGATGTCAGCACAATATTTGTTTTTTCTCTCACTCATACGCAACTTAGATACCTAAAATGCTTTCACCTGCGATCATTTTTTATGATTTTTGAGTAATTTTAAAGCAAAATCGCCTATTAAAAAAATTAAGTGGATGATATTTTTTAGCGTTTACCATATCTTTTTTATATTTTATTATTATTTGACTTTGTATTCAACTTTGAAAATAAAAACAGAGTTTTGTAAATTTAAATTATTTTGAAACAAATTGATGTCATTCCATCATAAATATCATTCTTTATCATTTTTGTAATAGATGATTTTACTCTATGATTACTCAAAAACAAAGAAAATAATTCTGCATAAATGTGTTTTATTTATAGAGCTAGAGAGCATGGGCGCCCATAGGTAATATTTTAGGGGGGGTCAAAATAAAAAAAATTTTCGAATGTAAGATAATAAAGATTTAATGTTATTTTTCACATATAAATGTATACACTATAGATGCATGTTATATTTTTATTTGTATATATCTATATATATAGTGTATTAATATAATAATTGCCATACGAATAAATAAATATATAATAATTGTCATATGAATAAATAAATAAATAAATAATAATTTTAATAAGTATATAAAAAAATAGAAATTAAATAATATAATTAAGTATATTATGCGGTATCAGTAAATAAGAACTGTAAATTTCTTTGTTTTATTCCAAACATATCAATGACATCCTGAATGAAAGTATCCTTGTTTGCGTTAGGTTAAAATATTTGTAGTACCTGTTAACTTCTCCAATTTAAAAAAAAAAAAAGAAACACTAACAAAAGAGTTAAAAAGAGTCCCCCGTTTCCAAGATGGCTTCGAGAGTGTCTGTGAACATATTTTATGTATACGACAAGAGTCCAACATCCTTATTTCGTGGTATTTATGCGATTAAGATGGCAAATGATAAGATAGAAGAAATTGAATTCAATTTGCAAACCAGGATGGAAAGCAGGAATGACATTGACATGATCGTAAAGGAATTTGGAGCAATAACTGTTTATATTATGGAAAAGGATGTGATTTTAAGGTTGACCGATTCTAGCATTAAGGCAATAAATCCAAGAAGATCTAAAGGTATTGCTTTTGAAGTGGTGAAGGGCGTAATGGCTAGACTATCAATCTTCGATGGTGTTGATGCAACGTTATATTGTCCTACAAAGGAAATTGGAATTGCTAATGATGCAGCGCTAAATTCTGATCTGATGTTACCCGATTTTGCAACACTTATGACAAAAGATGAAATTGACGTGAAGTTCGAAGAACGTAGGAAGCGTAAAGAAGAGCGCGAAAGTGGAAGGTTCACGACACCTATGAAGGGCAGAATTTCGATTTCGAGTCCAAATGTTAATTCAGCACATTCTGTGAGTACACCGCGTTAGCACCACACGGCCAGTCCTCCCGCTCCAAGGACAGGAGACGGTCCCGCGTCAGCAAGACCGTCCCGCCATCTAGAGGAGTTTACATACCTATATTGTGATCTTTATAGATTTACCACAAATTATCTGCGATAAATTATTTTACGTATAGATTATACAGACTACAGAATACGACCTATTTATGATGTTAATATACATTAACAATGAGTATATTTTTATATTTATTTCATATCTTAAAAGTGATTTCAACAAATAATTTGCCTCGGTAATAAGGTAATATTGTGGTAATATTTTTTCCAGGGGGGGCAAGTGCCCTGTCTTGCCGCCCCCCAATGGGCGCCCATGCTAGAGAGAGAAAACAAAAAGTGCGATGATTTCTTACTTCAATATGTAATTTAATATAACAACAATATCTGATATCTATTTGTATAGGTTTCTCCAAAGTGGGTGGTTGTCTTATTCCCTGATTACAACGAATATAGTGTTGTACCAATTAATTGGTTAACTCAAACCAATCCTCAGTTTTGCTACTGGCCACCAGGAAATGTTGACAGTCATGTCCTACAAATGGCAGAGAAGCCTGACTATACACGGACAAAGTATAAAGTTAAGGTTTATGGTGGGAACTAAACTTTTGGTAAGAACTTAGAAAAATAAATTTAATACCAAATTAGTTAGTATTTATTTGTAAATAGTTGTAAAAATGAATTCTTAACAAAATTATTTGATTTATTTCACAGATAATTTTAGAAAAGCATGGTATCAGCAGGTGGAGATTGAAAAATCTACTACAGAAACAGAAATTGAAGAACACGAAGCATCAAAGCCTAAAAAAATTAAAAATGTATCTGCTTTGAAAAAAAAACTCTGTATTTGATGTATCAGATGAAAGCAATGATTCTAATGGTAATTATTTACAACTTCATTTTTTTTTATCTGTAAATGTTATTAGTTTAAATTTAAATAATTGTATTTAGGTTTTTTTGAAGTAATGGCTTCATCTATCAATCAACTCTTGGCTGTACCTGTTACAGTTACTCCGATAGGTCCAATAGCTTCAACTAGTAGTTATTCACCAATAATTGGTGTAGGGTTAGGGCAAGATTACACAGAGTTGATGCCAACAAAATCAAATCAAAATGTGTGTTCTCCATCAGACATTTCACTTCAGGTATTTATGTCTTACCTATGTCTTAAATTAATTCCATTACAACCTGCCATTATATTTTGTACGCTTATGTATCAAATCTAAACATAAATAAAAAGCCCTAGCATAATATAAATTTACAGCTTGTACACAATAATTAAATCTTCCTTTATTGATAAGTATTATTAATATAATTATGCTTGGTAAATAAATATATTATATATTGTATTATAAATTTTTATATTAATTCTGTATTTGTAATTTTATTTATTGTGATACATATTTCTAATAAGATTCATTTTTAACCTATACCTTATTTATTATAATTCTTTATTCTTATTAGTGATATGCTTTGAATTAATGAGACACATAATAATACAATATTTATAGGTATTTTGTTTTTTTTTAAATACTATGTACATTTTTGTTAAACTATTTTTGAATTGAAACACTAGACTATTTGTATTAAGTATTTATATGTTTTTTTTTTCAGAAAATGTTGTTTTATATAATTATTTAATTTACATATTTTATTATAGATTTATAAATTATAATATCAAATATTATAATATGTTGCTTATTTTTATTACAATTGATACCTAAATAAAATACCAATATTTAAAAAATTTAAACTGTGTATTTAATTATTTATTTTAATTCCCTTTAACAAATCTATATACTCAATTAAATATTGAAGTGTTAAATTATGTTCTCTACCCATGTATTATGAAGTTATTTAAATATGTATACACAAAGGGAAAATAGTTAAATCAGCCTTATGAGATTTATTATATGTCTAATGGAATAAGTAGCATTTGAAAAATGTACTAGGAGGTACAAAACTTAAATTATTTAAAACTTATAAAAATAAGAATTCAAATGGAAAAAACATTGGTTTTGATAAAACAAAGATTTACTTATTGGAATAACAGTAAATACACTCATGAACTATGAATTTTCTTTTTCATCTTTACACAGTTAAACCCTGTTTTATGGTGTTAGGACTTGGTGGTAGTAGTACCCTACTTTAAATCTTATCATAAATACATGAATAGATATTATTTTTAAATGTAACTAATAATAGCTAAAAAATATACGATGATCAACGGAAACATTCATATAACGTTTAATGGAAACTTATATATAACGTTTGATAGAAACATATATACGATGTTTAATAGAAATATACATACGACGAATAAATGTGATGTTGCAGTAACGTTTCGGAGAAACATATAAGGTATGATACAAGGAAACATAAGGATAACGTTTTTTGAGTGTAAAATTGTTACAGTCATTAGCAAGCATAGAGACGCCATAACGCCAATGCAACGCATATGAGGATGTTCCATGTCCTCATGAAATGTCCTAGGAACATCAATGAAATGTAAAATTGCACAGTGGGTGCAGTCAGTTATCGTGCGTCCTCAACTCAATAGTTGGAATTAATCGCGAAATTACTCGAGTGTGTGCATTAGGGTGTTCCTTAGCCATAAGAGAAAAACAAATAATGATATATTTTTAGTCTCACCCCCTAAATCGGCGTGTATACATATAAAAATGAACTGCAAAAAATTTTAGGTCAATCAGAGAG